AAATTTGAGAGATAGAGAAAGAAGGGGAAGGGGAGAGGGGGGGAGGGAAGGGAAGGGAAGGGAAGAAAAAAGAAAAGAGAAAAGAAAAGAAAAAGGGAAAAAAAGAAAAGCCTAGAGTGGAGTGAATCCTTTGGACCCAGATTCCTGGGCTGAGTAACTCCTAGAACCAAAATACACAAAGACAGTAATCCTTATGTTAAGAGCTGGCCTTGTACTTCTGGATTCTTAGACTGTGAGACAATTCCGTGCATTAAAGTCATCCATTTGCAGTGTCTCTGCTATAGCAGCAGTAAGACCGCTAAGACCAGGAGGGAAAAGCCCACCATAGAAACTTCACCTTTTAGATTGTGGATGGTGATCTTGTGAGGGCAGAGGTGTATTTGACTTATTCTATGTGAATAGCAGTCATGTGGCCCTGAAGGAGAAAGGACTAGAAGTTGAAGGGGAGCAGATTCTAGTCCATTGGACTTTCCTGAGTGTGAAAATAGCTAGGGAGGAAAGCACTTAGAATAAAAGACATATAAACTACAAGACTCTTTAAAACAGTTACCTTTTTTTTTTTACAAAATGTATATACATTGTGTTTCACACTTATCTTCATTGCCATTATGTTTCCTATAATCATTTATATACATTGTGCCTTATAAAATTAAACACCTTTGAAGTATACACACCATTATGGTGCCTTTTCAGGTCCCCACCAGATCTTTCTCATTTCCTTTACCCCCTCCCTCCACCCACCAAATTGTGTGATAAAGTGAAGGTTGTCTGCAAAGAATGAAAATACTACTATCCACATGTCTCAGAATTTGGAATGGTTTTGGGGTTATTTTTCAAAACTATTCTTTATGTCAAGCTTGATATTCCTCTCTAAGGACTGGCCCCTCTGAACATTGCCCAAAGTATCAAACTTCACCATCCTTGCCTCTAAGGCCCACCCTGGTCGCACCTTCTCCAAGACAGACTAGTTTGTTCTTCTGATAATCCATGGGACATTAAATACTCTTCTCCAACACCACAACTCAAAAGCATTGATTCTTCTTCTGTCATCCTTCATCGTTGTCCAGCTTTCAGATGCATAGCAAGTAATTGAAAAGACTATGGCTCGGGTCAGGTGCACCTTAGTCTTTAAAAAGACATAAGTGCTCGTTAGCACTTTGGAGAGCAGATTGTCCCCCATGTGATCCATCTTTTGACTTCTTGACTGCTGGTAACAAGGATACTAATTGTGAATCCAACTAAGATGAAATCTTTGGCAATTTCAATCTTTTCTCCATCTATCATGATGTTGCCTGCTTCAAAAGGTAGAGGATCAATGTAAGCAAGGAAGCCCTTCAACAAGATGGATTTACATGGTGACTGTGACAATGGGCTCAAGTATATTGGAAATGTTGAAGATGGCACAAGATAGGGCAAGGTTCAGATCTGTTGTTCATAGGGTCATTATGAGTCACAGCCAACTTGATGGCACATAACAACATTCTTTATGCCATTAGATTGTCTTTCTGGTTAATGCTAAGCATATAGGGGAAAGTAAGTTTCCTACTTTGTACTCTTAGACCATGTTATCTTTTGGTATCTCTGCTGATCATCCTTCTTTATCCACAGAGGAAAGTCTGATGATCCCAGGAAACACCCTTTCTTCAATACCATCAACTTTCCTCGCCTGGAAGCCAACCTGGTGGAGCCCCCATTTGTGCCAGACCCGTCTGTAGTTTATGCCAAAGACGTTGCTGACATTGAAGATTTTTCCGAGATTCGAGGGATTGAGTTTGATGACAAAGATAAGAAGTTCTTCCAAAGATTTGCAACAGGTGCCGTCCCCATAGCATGGCAGGAAGAGATCATAGAAACGGGACTATTTGAAGAACTCAATGACCCCAACCGAACCTCAGTTTGTGGAAACGGTAACTCATCCAAGTCTGGGGTCTGTTTGTTGTTATAATTGTACCAAGAATCTTGGCTGGCATAACAGGGACTGATCAGTCAGGAGAGGTACTTCAATCATAGGACAGTTCAAAGCACAGGCATCCTTACCATTAGGGCACTTTCCCCCCCTTTAAAGTACACGTAGAGTCTGGGAGAAAGGAACACTCAGGCTTGATTGGATAAGTGAAAAAGCACAAGTCCTCCACTCTTGTTATTGTTGGGTGCCATCCAGTCAACCACAACTCATAAAAGACATGTTCCAGTCATTTCTGACTATAGTGATTCTATGAACAACAGGTCTGAACTTTGCTGTATCCTGCACCATCTTCCCCGTCTCATTGCTACAGTCACTATATTCCTTTCTCTGACCCTACACCTTTCCCAAGCATGATGTCTTTTTTTTAAGGCCTAGGACCTCTTGGCAGCCCACCCAAGGTATGTGAGATATGATTTCACCATCCTGGCCTCTAAGAAGCACCCTGGCTGCTCTTTCTCCAAGACAGACTTGTTTGTTCTCCACCATTGAATATCTGCAAATGACTCAAAGTTCTAGCCCGAGAGAATGGAACTCTGTGGTGTATTCAGAAAAACAGCATTTGCAATTCTTAGTAAATAAACATTGTCTTTTTGTTTGTTTATGTCCTTTCTTTCCTCTACCTTTTATGAATTTTCTGGTTCTGTGCTTACACAAATAATTTTGAAACTGAAAACATATGTCTCTGATATTATCCCTATAAAAATAAATTAATTGTAAGATACTGGCCTTTCTGATTACAGAATCATTTCATCTTCATGGACAGATCTCTTTAATTTGGAAAGGGTAAAAGTAATAATTGTGATGTTGAAATGAATTAAAGCATTCTGTAAATTGGTTATTTTAAGTAACATGCTACAAATTGCCTGTACATGGAAATCTGTAAGCTAGTAGGACCCTACTTGGCTGTACTTTGGAATCACCTAGTGTCTTAGTTATCTCACTGCTGATGTAACAAAAAATACCACAAGTAACAAGTGAATACCCAGTCAGTCACCAGCATTTTGTAGAATTGAAAAGAAAAGCAAAACACAAAACTTCTTCCTGCCAGCCAACTCTAGCTCATGATGACACCCCATAAGGTTTCTGAGGTTATAAATCTTTAGAGGAGATACTGGTCTTTTTCCTTGGAAAGTGGGTAGTAGGTAGTGACTAGTGGATTAAAACTACAGAAGGGGCTGGGCGGAACCTGACTTTAAAGAGCAGGAATTTATCTCCTCATCATTCTGAATGGAAGCTCTTTCTCCACAAGTTTAAGGGGAAAGTCCTTGATTGTTTCAGCTTCTGTGGCCCCAGTTCTTTAATATCTGTGTTCCTCTTATATCAATTTCTATAGCTGTTCTGCTTTTTATATAAGATGCTATGCAGAAGGGGAGGAGCTCTTGTAGTACAGTGGGTTATATATTGAGTTGAACACTGAAAAGCTTGAATTTCAAATCCACCAGCTTCTCTCTTTCCTCTAGAGCCTGACAAGGCAGTCTGCTTTTCTCTCCTCTGGAGGGTAACAAGACAGCCTGCCCATGTTCAGGTTTACAGTCTCAGAAACCTGATACAAAGTCACCATGAATTGGAATCAAATTGACTTCACAGCAGTGAATTTTGTTTTGGTGTGCATAACTGAGTAGGTTTAGGGCCCACCCTACTAAGGTATAAATAAAATAAATAAAAAATAAAATAAAAAATTAAAAAGGAAGAAGCTAAAATGTTTTCTTTCTTAACAAGTGGTATTCATAATTTCAAGAGTTAGGACTCAAATATGTCTTGGGGAGATGGACTCCCATCCATGACACTTTTGTTGCTAGGTGGTGTCAAGTTGACGAGGTCTCCTGGTGGCCATATGAAGGCGGATCGGAACCCTGCCCTATCCTGTGTTATTTGCACAATCTCTGGTCTCAGTTTACTTTGGTGGATAGCCTTCACTTTCTTTAACCCAACATGAATTTTCTTTCCCAGCATGAATTTTTAAAAATCTCTAATGCCTACCTCCTTCCCCTAGACAATCTGATTCAGTTGGTATGGAATATGGTTCAAGCATGTCAAATCTTTAACACTCTGTAGGTGATTTTAATATGCAACAGAGTATGGGAAATCCTGTAACATATATTTGAATGGTATTACATATAACTCTACATTGATTTAGAGAATAGCTTTTCAAATATCCAGAAAGTGTGTATTTTTGCCAATTGCAGTATTAATAAAACTGAAGATAAAAATCTATATATTGCGTAATAAATTACTTTGTTTTTCCTATTTTAGTTCTTTTTGTTTGGGGGTTGGTTTTTTTGTTTTTATTATATGAGTTTATTTACAAAATTCAGATACATTGTTTTTCATACCAGATCATTCCCATTTCCCTCACACACCCCTATCAAATTGTACGATTGCTCCCACACATCCTCACCCCTCTGCTTCCACCGTCCCCTCCCCTCGGATCCTCATACTCATTTTACAATAATGGTTTTGAGAAATGATGGGACACTCACACAATGGAATACTACGCAGCATGCAGGAACAATAATTTTGTAAATTACTACCTAAAATGGGAGGAACTGGAGAGCATTATGCTAAGTGAACTAATTCAGTCTCATAAAAACAAATACCATATAGGACCATTATTGTAGAGTGTGTACATAGATCCAAAGGGGTGTAGTTTTAAACATAGGTGATCTCTTTGGTTTTCACTTTTTTGTTCTTCATAGAAATCTTAGAAAGCAAATCTATTGGCTATTCCATGACTTAAAAGAGAACATGGAGCTTAGAAATTTAATTGAACAAATCATGCCCTTCATGTCAAGTGACTGCCTGGCCAGCATTATATTGAAGATTTTTTAATATATTTTTTTAAATATAAACCCTAAACAAGTTCAATAGAGTTTACTCCAACATATAGAGAAAAGACTGGATTATCTTCTTCCCGTACAGTAGCTGGTGGATTGGAGGCAGAAAAATTCTTTTTATGGCAAACATAAACTTGGATGATATGTTTCTCAAAATTATGTGGGGGGTGAGGTGATGAACACACAGAGGAAGCCACCCTTGTCCCAGTGGTAAGAGGACTGGACAAGAATATGTGAAAAGTTTGTTCCTTTGAGTTGAAGCATCCAAGAGATGCAAAACCACTGACCAGAACATTTTCCTTAACTGGGATCCAGTTAACAGCAATTAAACCCCAACCACAAGAGACACACCCTGAAGGAATGAGTTGCTTGTCCTAGGGCCTCAGGATCACTGTCATAGGGGACATCAAGGTCAACTGGTATCACATAGCCTGCAAGGTACTATATTCATCTTTGGTAAGTAGAAACTGGGGTCTTAAAAGCTGGCCAGTGGCCATCTAAGGCATCACTAACTATTGGACTCTTCCTATCTAAAGCAAAGAAGGAAGGGGAAGAAATTAAAGATGCACAGAAACTCTTGGTCCAAGAACCTAATAAACTATGTAAATATTAACCTCCTGAACTTCGTGACCAGGAAAACTAAATGTTCCGTGGCTACTTCTATTAACTATTCTAAAAGAGATCACAGCTGGAAGACTTTGATGTTGTTGTTGTTATGTTCCATCGAGTTGCCTGTGATTCATTGTGACCCTAATGCACAACAGCTCTGAAGCCTCCTCTGTCCTGAACCAATTTCACTGCCTCCAACATACCTACCCCAATTATCCCAGTTACTGTGTCATACCATCTCATCTGGGGTCTTGCTCTCCTGCACTCTTCTTCCATCCTTCCAAGCATGATGTCCTTCTCCAAGGACTAGTCTCTTGGCCACACGGCCAAAGTATGTGAGACGGAGCTTCAAAATCTTTGCCTCCAAGGAGAAACTTGGTTTTATCCTCTCAATGAGAGGGGAAAAATATGAAACAGAACTCAAATTCATAAAAACAACGAAACACACACACACATATCCACCCCAAACAGCCCAGGCTTTCCTGTCTGATAGATATTGGTGAAATTCTTGTGACTATTGCCTTTAGTCCACCATTGAACCTGGAGCAAAATTGATTCCTTTGGCTCAACTTCCAATCAAACAATAGACAGACCTATAAGGTGAATAATAACAGCAGGGAGGTACTTGGTCTTTAGAAAACTCAACAATAGCAAGATCAATAGGGCAACATTTGCCCAAGGGCTCTGAGTGGCCTAGTGGAGAGAAGCTGTGCTGTAATCCTGAAGGCACTCAGTTCAAATTCACCAGCTGCTTGGAGGGAAGAGGATGGGCAATCTCCTCTCCTGCGATTAAATGCCTCTGAAAACCTATGCTCGGGTCGGCTATGGGTCAGTTCTGACTCTACAGCACACAACAACAGCAAGACTCAGAAGTCAGGAAGGGAGAAGATAGCAGGATGAATGGTAATAAAAACCAAAGGGAGGAAAAAGGGAGAGTGTGGTTACAATGTGGGCATGGAAATGTAAGATAACACGTGTATGAATTGTTGAGTAGAAAGCCAACCTACTTTGAAAACTTTCACTCTACTAATATTTTTTCAAAGACAATCATAAAAAAACCCTATGCAATGAGGGTTGCAGAGGGAGTTTTTCTTTTGCTTTTCAAGAAGAGGAGCAAACGGGGCGGGGGGGGGGGGGGGGGGGGTTTGTGCGGGGAGAAGGGTGCAACAATGAATGAATGGAATTCCAAAATCTCTGTAGATGTTCATTGAAATGAAAAATAAACAAACTAAATTTAAAAAAAAAAACCTTTCAGAACTGAATTGAGGTATTCCTGTACAACTTCCATCTTCATGTTCTTTGATGTTCTAATTCTTAACCTGAAGACACTAAAATCAGGAACAAGTGTGTTCAGCAGATTCAAATGCAGTAAAAATCTTAGTGAAATTTCTATCAAGTATATTTTTATGGGAAACATATTAACAATTAACAGAAATCATATTAACTCAAGCATTCCAAAAGTAGAGATACCTGGATTTGACTTTTATAAATGTTGGGAGTTTTTATGCACTGTTATGTCAGAACCAACTCATACTT